CTCCCATCCGAGCCAGCACAACGGTGCAAACATTACGATGTCCGCACGCTGGCCAGATGATGGCCGACTTTACTCACGGCCCGACGCTGACCTTCCCCAGCTTACATTGCCCCCCCCGTGAGTCTTTGAGCATAGGGTCTCCCCGTGCCTTAGGAGCCCCATGTCACCTGCGGCTGCACTCTTCCGCCGCTTGCCCTTCCTTCTCGTTTGTTTTTGCTATTGTTCGTAGGCCAAGAATTGTATTATGCGCGAGCCTTATAATAATCGCGAACAGGGTGCTGGCAGATTCCGCGCTTGCCCGATGTTTGCCAATCCACTCACCACCTGGTTATCACCACTGCTTAACCTACGTAGCTACTTCAGGCCTGCAGTGAGCAGCGCCGGCTTTTTTCATCAGTGGTCTCGACCCGCGCCGCTTTGTCCCTGGGTGTACTGCCCCTCACCACGGGTCTCTGTGCATGGCCCCCCCTCTTACATTGAGGACCTCATGCCGCCCCGTGGCCGCGCGTTTGCACCGCCTCCCCCTGAATGCTGCCAGCATGCCCTTTACTTTGCAGGAGTAGGCGCCAAGTTCTGGCCCAGAGCGGGAGACTCGCGAATTTATTGCGACGCAACAACTTCGGGCCGGCCTGCACCAACAGGGCCAGCCTAACAGTGCCAAGGCCACGCCGATGACTGCCAGCAGCAATACTGTTCTTGATTCAAGCGCCTTGCCAAGGCATATGCATTCCCCGCTTCAGCCCGGCAACCCAGCATACCTTGACTCTACAGCAGCTGCGCTCAAAGGCCAGCCATTTCAGTTTGTGCCAGCCTGGCAGACAACACAAGAAGACCTGGGAGGAGCGGGTGCGGGACAGAGGTGGTGTGGTGGGGGGAGAAGTGATGACATTCGATTGTAGTGTCATCCTGCCCTTCGGAAGGGGGTGAGTCTACTCCCCACGGTGGTCTGCCGAGTAGTCCCTTGTGATAATCAGCTCCACCACCTGCCTCCTAGTCCCTTGCAGTCCATTCCAGATCACTGCCGTTCCAAATTTCAGATTGCGTGTCGCGCCAGTTTGTTTGTTTTTTATTTTGAATAGTGATGCAAAGTAATAGTAATCATGAATCATAATATATAAAACTACAACTGAATAAATTAATATCAAACACAAGAGAAATAAGCAACACGTCAACAGACCAGCCAAGACAGTTGAGCCGGCTTGCTTTCTGTATTATGCCTTGATGGTGGCGGGCGGGGAAATCTTGAGGAGGGGAAGTCGGCGGGGGAGCCAGCCGCAAGTTAAGCAGCCGTGGCCAGCCTGCGCGTGAATCTCGACCTCTCACTCGCTCGGCGTCCTCATTCGGACAGATGGTACTTCTATTTACTCTGGATTCGGACTCCCTCACCCCCACCTGTACCGCGAGCCAGGCTTTCACTTCGAGCCATTGTGTATATCTTTCGTTACTTGTCTCTTTTGCCTTGTCCGTTTAATATTCTACGCCTGGCCTCGCCTAATTTGTTCGGTATTTGCTTGGGTCGGCCTCACTTCTAGTATTTACTGGTAGAGCGCTCCTGCTCCGTGGCTTCAGTTTGCCAATCGCCAAAATGAGGAGGTTTCCGTTCTGTTGTTTTGTTTGTCGGAGGTTTTCGGGTTTCGGGACGTTTCCCGTCAGCTGCGCCTCGTCGAGGGCTTCTGGGGACGGTGGAGTCGTCTCAGACGGCTTGTGTCCGTGACGGCGGGCACGTTCACAGCCAGGCGTCGTGACAAAAGACACAAATGCAACGTTATTTTATATTTGCAATGATTTTGGCCATGTGGCCCTTACAGTTCAATCCGCCTCGGGCAATCCCGCACCACGAGTGGGTGGGGCCAGTGTTGTGTGCTGCGTTTCTTTGTTCTACTTTTGAAGTGCCCTGGGCGCTGGGGCGTACGCAGAGTTCGGGTGGAGTTTTTGTTTGGTCTTCTCTCCTCTCCCCCACCAGTCAATAGAGGCCAGATGGAGGAGGCCACGACCTCCTCCACTTGACCATGGCTAGACACAGGCGCCTATCCGCACTGGGGCATGGAGTGCGCTGTCGCTTGCGCCATCTTCCTCTCGCTCTCCCCGCCCCTGCTTCCTGATGGCTGTCTTCGGTGTCCCCTGTCGCCTGCCCTCCTGCCTCGTCCCGCCGGCCCTGGCCTTCCGCATCCGCGCACTGATCGTTGTCTGCCTAGTCCTCTCGTCCTCACTCTTTCCCTCCCTCCCCTCCTTCACTTCGCACACCTGGTGCAGATGTGTTGGTAGACGAGTGAGGAGCAACCCCTCCCCTCCCTCCCTCCCTCCCCCCCCCTCCCTCGACAGGCAGCCGGTGCGGCACGATGCGCAATTGTTCTGATTCGTTAAGTGCCCTGCGGTGCCCACGCGAGTGCCCAAGCGAATGCCCATGTCCAGGCGGTGGCGAAGCGTTCTGGCGTGCGTATAGTCCTACCAGACAATGTTCTAAGAACCGTTTGTGGTTTGCACGAAATGTTCTCAGAGCATTTCTGGCTGGGGCTGCCTTGTTCTAACACATCGGGTTTCTGTTCCAAGAACATTGTTAAGGTTCGTGGAAAATTTTTGGGTTCTAAGAAAATTTCGTCGTAGGCCTCTAGGAGTGCCGGGACGGTCGGTCCCTGCTCACAATTCGACTACACGTAAGAGTGACCTTTCGCCAGAGTGACCTTTGGTGCGGGCTCATCGGGCTCCCCCTGATCGCCGAGTGCGATGCGATATAAGCGGCCCGCGCCCTTGGGTTTGGCTCCCTCGCGCCCCCCAAAGCTGCGCACCAAAGGTCACTCTTAGCCAGGGTCACTCTTACGCCTAGCCGAAACATGTTTCTTGATCTTTCGGAAACGATGCCCACGCAAACTGCCTTGACCATGGGCGTGCAGTAGCAAACGGTGGAGCAGAGAGGGGGCGTCGGCCGTCCACCTACCGCTCGGGACCAGCCGCAGCGCGACCCGGGAATCAGCCATCGACGCCTCCGGGTCTTCCGATGTGGGAGCACCCCGGAGCCTGACAATCTTAGGGCCATGTGAGAAGCCTTTGGGGCTCTCTCTGGGCCCCTCTCGAGGCCCTCCCGGGGTCCTCTTGGGACCGTTGGGGCCCTCTTGGGGTCGTTTGGACGAGACTCATCAAGCAAACATGATGGGCCTGTTTTCCACCACCACCAGAAGCTGGAGGGGGGAGGAGGTCCTCCCCGTCCTCCACCTCCTTCCCCCTTCAACTTATGGTGGTGGTGGAGGAAACAAACCCATCAAAACACGGAGGGGTCTTTATGTGGCGTCGCACCCGTCCGAGCCAGAGCCGTCACCTTGTGGGGCTCTCCGCGGGGAGCTTTGGGGCCCGTGTTGGAGGCGGTGCGGGTCCCTCTTGGGGCCCTTTTGGGGCGATCTGGCAGCCATCTGGAGCCTCAGCAGCCAATCGAAGTGAGCAGGCGAGAAAGTGCAGCACATGGAGCAGCCCGTAGGGTACGAGACATCTGTGGCTCTCAGGGGTATCGGTGGTGAGCTCTGTGCCCGCTCGGAGTTGTCATGTGGCGGACTCAGGGCACATGGGAGGCACAGGGGATCGCTCACGCTGCTCCTTTCTTGGCATCACGCGCACGCCACGCCAGACATCCCTCCTCCCTGCCCCCGCCCCTCCCTCCCCCTTCTCCCCCTCGCAGGGTCTCCTCCTCCTCCTCCTCCTCCTCCTCCTCCTCATCCTTGTCACTCGTTCCCCCCATGCCCGCCCTTTCGGGGATCGCGCGTGGCCAACCCAGAATCCTAGAGTTAAGTCGGGCCTGTCCCTCTACAGGAGGAATAGTTAGAAATGGTAGACAAATAGTTTAGGGACGATGTTCTGATTGCTTTTTGCACATGTTTGGCATACTTTTTGAGTATTTGTTATTTTTGTCCCAAGTCGGCCTGTATGGGGACATACCCGACCTAATCCTAGAATCCTAGAAACCTTGGATTCGGCGGAGAAGTCCGACCCCTGCCCTCGCCGATCGACGATTCTCGTCGAATTCGTAGCGAGCAGGGTCTGGAACTCGTCGAGCACGTGGCGAAGTCCGAACCACACCTCCGCCTCCCAACGATGCAGGAGATGCGACGGTCAGTGGAGGTAGGGCCCGGATGTCGCCACCTGCTGATCTCGGACGGAGTGAAGACTAGGAGAAATCCGTTCCAGAGCGTCCCGGAACGCTCTCACTGCGTTCCCGAACGCTCTCAGAAGGCCGCGGCACCCGAGACATCCTCCAGAACCGCGGGACCTCAGAGATTCGAGGAACAAGCAATGGAACACATATACACACGCACGCACGCACGCACGCACGCACGCACGCATGCTCACACCCACGCACGCACGCACGCACGCACGCACGCACGCACAGCCACACGCGCACTCCCACACCCACACCCACCCCACACCCACACATGCACGCACGCACGCACGCACGCACGCGCGCACCCACACACGCACGCACACACACACACACACCCACGCACGCACGCACGCACGCACACACACACACACACACACACGCACACACACATACATTTCATCCGATTTGATCCTCGTCCTCGTGCTTTCCCATACGATTTACCCTCACCCGATTTTATCCTCGTCCTGGCTTTAAGCCGGGCATGCCCCTCTATGAGAGGAGTATTCAAGAATGGTATTACCTGGTCAGATGAATCTGCTGACTATTTGGCGTGCTCCTTTTACGTTACCACGTTTGATTTTTTGTGATTGATTTCTGCATGGTCGTCCAACAGCCGCCGGTAGGGGGACATGCCCGACCCAGTCCTGGCTCCGCCTGATGCTCCCCTCCCTCCGCCCCGCCCCTCGCCCGGGCGCCTCTCCCTCCCCCCCCCCCGAGGCCCCCCCCTGGCGCCCGACGCGACCCGACGCGGCCCGCCGCCCCGCGGAGCGCAGCAGCGCAGAGCCCCTCTCGGCCCGAACGCGGCGCGAGGGCGGGCCCGGCGGAGGCCGGGCCGCGCGGGCCCCCCCTGCAGATGCCAGGGGCCCGCCTGCAGGCGCCAGCCGCCCGCGCTCGGCGGGGAGCAAGGGGGGGGGGGGGGAAAGGGCGGAGGAGGAGGCCCTCGCAGAAGGCCCCGCGTCGCTGTCCGATGCAGATCGGCCGAGCGCGCGCCCTGGCATCGGAGAGGGCCTTCGCGGCTGCTGGGATGCACTCGCCACAGGCGCAGTCGGCGGCGAGCGAGGGGAGGAAGTTTTCGCGAGCGTCTTCGTCGGTGCTCGGCGGTTTGGCAGCCTCGCGATGCGTTCCAGCGTCTGCGCCTCGCCGAGGGCGTTCCGGGGGTGCCGGGATCGTCCCGAACGGCCGCCGGAGACCCCAGTTATGACCCAACAACCAAATTCGGCGGCGAGCGAGGGGAGGAAGTAAGACGGAGAAGGCCTCGTCAGAAGGCGGCGGGGCCTCTCAGAAGCCCTCGCGCCTTCTGAGAGGTTTTTTGCGCCTTCGGGGAAGGCTCAGAAAACTTCTCAGAAGGCCAGGGGACTTCCGAGCCTTTTGAGAATCAGGAGGTGTAAAAACACACAGACACAATGAATCGTCGATTTCCGTAGCCATTTTGGCTCAAGTCGTTTGGGCTCCAGCTTCAACGGCCTTCCCCTCGGTGCCCTGGCGGTCACCAGAAGCCGTGCCGCCCGCCCGTCGGTGCCGCCTCCCCAGCATGCTGTGCGCGCCTCTCATCGCCAAGGCCCCCCCGAGTCGTGAGGCCTTCCCTCGAGGAGGCCAGGCGCCGCTGGCGGGCCCAGGGACCGAGAGCAGCCAGGTGACTTTGGTGTCCGACCCTAACCCTCTGTTCCTCAAGACGAAGCTCTGCAAGTTCTTCGCGGTCGGCGCCTGCTCGAAGGGCTCCGGGTGCAAGTTCGCCCACGGCACGGGCGAGCTCTCGGAGCTGCCGGACTTCACGAAGACGCAGCTCTGCTCCTCCTTTCTGCTCTTCCGCGCCTGCACGGCCCCAGGCTGCGCCTTCGCGCACAGCCCGCGCGAGCTCAGGCCGCGCGCCGCTGGGCGGGCGGAGGTGCTCCCCGCCAGGGCGGAGCCTGGCGCGCCGCGCCCGAGCACGAGGCCCCTGCGAAGGGGTGGTCGGCGCGCCCGGCGGAGCGCCGGGCAGGCGGCGCAGGGCGAGCAGGAGCCGTTCATTCCGCAGGAGGAGGAGGTCGTGCGCAGGGCGTTGCCGCTGCGCCTGGCGGTCGTGCTACGGAGCGGGTGCGGGGACTCCTGGGCCGACCAGAGCGAGGACCTCGA